TGATTCCGAGTGTGAAAGGTCATGTAGCTATGCCAACGGCATCTATTTACTAAACTGAACATGAAGGGCGAAATGCTTGGAAGTCGGAACTCAATATTTCTGAATTGTCCTTGACCAATGGTTAGTTTACCCTGCACGGAAGAACAGAGGAAGAGATTCAAATCCATAACCACACGATTGCTAAATTAGCTTAATTTACATAGAAAATATTTCGAAACATTACCACAATATACCCGCATCCGCATAACTCATTACCTCTTTGGGCCTGACTGATATTTGTCTATCCCCCACATGAGATGATTCATTTAATATAAGGTAAATTCTAATCATCCGGAAATTTAGATTTAGAATTTACAGCACTCATTGTTACTAATGATCACGCTTTGATTCTCATATTAGTCACAGTTTACTCCCGTTTCATTCATAGTACACTTACGAGAACTAACCACGTCATTAGTCGCACCCGCGATCTCTCACTCAGAAACACTCTTCCTAAAATTTCCATTAATATCAACTCTTCGTTGTTTTCTTCCTGTACTTTTTACATGTTGCCCTTCAAGCGATGTTACCATGCCACATTCTAAATGATGTCGTTCAATTGGATACTGTTTTGAGAAATGAAATTTTCAAGCTTCTTCTTCCCTTTAAATCATGGATCTTATTCACTTACAGAAATTTCGGCACCATTCCTCAATACTCTCTTAAAAATCTACTCCATACCAGACTGTTAGAGACCAGTATCTCATGTTCCCACTCCCAAATCCTGTAACTCTACTGGTCTTACCAACCCCTTTCATCATATCGCCCTAAATTCTTAAACACGCATCCAGTCCCCACTGTATGGCTCGCATGCACATAAAATTATCTAGTTTTTAAATGACTACGAAATCTGTACTTTGTGTACTTCTGGACTACTTATCTACGTTGGATTCCATTCCCCGTTCTCTCTTTCTTTGTAAACTGGATAAGTTCAGTTGTCCTAACCAATTATGAGCTTGGCTTACTCGTTACTTTTCCGGAAGAACTCAATGTCGAAAGAACTTCAAATCATCGGCGAACTACCCAGGGTACTCCAAGGTGCCATTGTTTCCTCAGAAGGATGTTTTGCCTGCATTAGCGATTTGTCTACCATCACTTCTACTTCTCTGTTCAAATACACTGTCACTGTGGTTTTATTCCTGGCTATCTCCAATTATTCTAACGTTACGCTTTTCTGTCAATATGGATAACGCGCTTCTTCCGTTCTCTCGCTTAATCAACCTAAATTTCTGGAATGTTTCTTCACATTATCACGTTTTTCCTTCCCATCTGATTCAGTATCAATTAATTATGAGGCGGTATCCCTAGTAGTCCGTGTGCAATAACTGGGGACTTTTATCAATGGACATTGTTCATTTAACCTATCACATTTAACGTATCGTCACTGAACTCGAACGATTTTCCTTCCAAATCCGTCGAGTTCGTCAGTTCCTAATTCAACAGTCGAGTATCTCAAAATTCGTGTTCCAGTGGTCTCCCTTCATTGCTCAACCACTGATTCTTCTAATCTTTTAAAGAATGTATACTGCTTCGACGTGGACCGACAGTCATTAGCCGTGTCCCTTTAATCTAGCTGCAGTATTTGATAACTAGTTTGTGTGAGCCTCTTTTGAATGCATATGCAAAGTTTGCACACAAGATGTTCATGGATCCCACAAATCCACAGTACACACCCCGATATAACTCCCTACTCTCACAAATCAACATATATCGCAACTATTCGGTGCCCTCCTAAGCCCATGTAGAATAAAGTAGCCTCAGTCCAATGGAGTTAGGGGTTTGCTCTTGTTATGACTGGCTAACATTTTCGTTGATCAGGGAACGGAACTCAAATCAGTGTGGACAATCTAGATAGAAGTTACACCTTCCAATTGATGAGCAGTACCCTCTGGTCATCACTAGCAAGCCAGCCATTCATCCATAAACACACTATTATAGGCCAGGATGAGTATACATGTCAACCTTCACCGACTTTCTGACACTGAGAAAATGTAAATTAATAGGTCTGCTTCCAACATTTGAGCCATCTGAGCAGTCCATCATTCGGTCTGTCAAGTAAGTTCTCACTCGGAAGATGAATAACCAACATATTGAAATCCATCTCAAAGAGGCTTTTGTAACGACCGCTTGTCCAATCGACCAAAATGTTTGGGATGTTTCATTGTACGGATTCCACAAATTAGAGCAAACTGTTAGTTTGCAGAGGGGGGGAGTTTACTGTTATCCGAATTTACAAACAAAACTCTCAAAAGAGAGGTTCTCTTTAGAGATAATTATTGAACCAAACAAATTATTTATTTTCACGATGGTATGGTGAAACGGATAAAAAAATTTCTGGTAGATATAGTTTGATTTACCTCCTTAGTTTAGAGGTGGCGGTCACTTGGTTTACGCGTGCCCCATCAATGTGCTTTGCGTATGAGGATTCAAAGCCCCACCCGGACACTCTTAAAAATGTGTCAACACCTCGCGGATGGATGAATTTATACTGTGAGAACCCTACACGTTGTTCGCCAACATAAATTTGGGGCTTGATTACCCAAATCATATAATCGAAATTCTGAGATTAACCCCTTTTATTATGTATCATACTAAGGTTTTGCATTTTGAAGATATCATTCCCAAGTAAAATTGTGATCATCCTCATGAATCTGTTGGAGGATGAAAGTGCTAAGAACGATACCAGGGTAAATGAAAAACATTGTTTGTGCTGGCTGCTCACTGTGACCCTTACAGGCATTAGTGCAGCGGAATTACATTTCGACTTGTGGTAGCCATTCACAATCGATGCTTATCTTATCAATCGAACGTTCTAGAATCACTTCATAAGATACAGATCATATAAGGGGTTCGAACCTAGAAAAAAGCCAACGATTGTTCATCCAGCCTTATAAACTATCCCGGATAGATATCTCACGCTTCGCCAAATATACATATATTGTTCAACTTTCACCGATTAAGAATGCACTAGATTTGCTTGGTGATTTACGGAATTTCTCATACACAGTGGCACGTCAATCAGACGTAATCAAACTGTTAAGGTGCCATTTCCCGATCACCCCTGCAGTCAGTAATAGTGCCAATTGCTTTTTGACTGCTATTGACTGGAATCTCTCTGCCCGTTTGTGCATTAAGTCGCTCATTGAAACTCTCCTGGTAGTACTGAAAAGCGACGTTTAAAAGATGCACTAAAATAAAAGAACATTAGGAGAACAACATAAATAAGTGAATAGAGGTTGTTCGTTGAAAGAGATTCGCAAGAGGTAGTTATCTTAAAAAGGGGTGTAGCATCTTGTGTAGAATAGTCCCTGATAAATCTGTTGACATGGGATGTAACCATAAATCTGGTCTTAACGATAAGAAAGAACAGTTCTAACGTAGGGATCAATGTAATCATTAATAAAGGTTAGACATCGAAAATGGAAGCCACACACGTACCTTTGATGTCACGGAACCACTGCGAGCTCGTTGCACTGTATGTCTACTATCTAGCTCGTAGTCCGAATCCATGGAGTCACTTTGCTCTGATATAGAGTCAATGNGTCAAGGACGCCGGTGCTGGTTCATGCCGCATCCGATTCCGATGATCACGTACAGAACCAAGCATGGCTGCTCGAGTTCGCGTTGTTGAAGTGGTCGAAGACCACGTGTGAGAAATATTGTACTCATCTGTCGGTACATGTCTTAGAGAATGTGAAGAATGTGACAGAACGGCACCACTGTCAGCGAGTGAATTACTATCATAAATGCTACTGTTCACATCCTGATCGGATTCACTTTGTGGTGGGATAGGTGCCAATTCTAACTGTTTTGAGCGAAGATCTCCCATGGAAAATGATTTTCTGTTTTGNAAACTTAAAAGACGCTTTGTATAAGGATGCAGCAAAATAGGGGTAGGAATCCTCTCAATATTGTTTGAAGATTTTCGATCGTGTTGGAAAACTAACTTGGTTTTCACAACAATAAAAAAGAAGCAATACGCGTGACTTGCAATTGAAATTTGTTTAGAATATGAGTCAGTGGTGTTTGTTCGAAATGTGACTGAAAATCCACAGCTATCTTATCTGTGAGGAAACTTACTCCTCTGCAAATTCGAACCCAATTTAGCAGCATTTTTCGCAAGTCGTTTGGCCTTTTGACCGATTTTGTGAAAGATACGCTTCCCGCGGTGACGAGGAACCATTTCACAAGACTTTTCAAATCGAAAGAATAGGGAACATACCAACACGTGAGTAGTGACTGAGGATTGATTGCAATGTCGATCATTCGCTCTCAGAAACGGATTGATTTATACAGTGATTTTTGTGATGCACTAAGATGAAAAAATAACACGTTGATTTAAAAGGCACAAACTGATTCCTGCTTCATGAACCTTTTCGGTAAAGAATACCCATAATCACATATGATTTTCGAATTAGATATATACACTGTTCATGAGTGTGCAGCCATCTGTTTTGTCATTCACGGAGTAAAAGAAACACCAGTAAGTGACGAACTGAAACCTTACCATGGAAATTGTCGAGAACTTATTACAAGTAGAGGGAGAGAAGGTGAGGACGTTTAAACAGTTACGGATTACCATACATTATAGTGTTACGTTCACGGGGGGACTGAATGCCACTTGAATGAGTGAACACATGAACATTTCAGTCAAACGAATGGAGCGTTCACTCATCCTATCTGGATTCAACAAAACAGGGCAGTTAGAATAAAGTCTGGATTTTAGAAATGTCAACAAAAAATGCATCGAGACGGGTTGAACTCCTTCGTGAAATTCCAAGTTAATGAAGTACACGGTTTTAGTTCGTGATCCCTCACCTCTTTTGGCATCAATTATCGTGGTGGCGAAACTATATGGGTTCGGGGAATCAATTGGAAGAAGTGATACTTATTGAGAAGGATAAGGTGAACCTAGACGGAGTGAATGATTTAAATGTTTAGTCGCATGAAACTGGGATTAATAGTATTTGATAAATCAAATCACCACAAACGATCGGTCGGTTTCTGGAAGACGTTTTCCACAGCTGTTTTGAGTTTGGCAGTGATTCTGGACCGCAACCTGAATGCACTGGACTGAAAGAAATATAATCGATGGTTTAANNNGTTTAATTCCCCCCCGCTTATCACTCCATAGATTTAGGGAACCGTATGTTTCAGCACGATGACACCGTGATAGATACATCATACACGGAAGAAAATATGAGTAATTTTTCGTGGAAGAGATGTTTTGCAGGAGCTTGTTTTCGGTAATGAACTGATGCAAAAGCATTAAAAATGTTTATCAAGAAGTTATCTTGACATCGCATCCTATGAGTTTCCCTCACTTCCAGGCAGAGAGAAGGGAATTTACTCAGTTGATCTAAAAGTGTGTATGTTGCCTTTTGTAGCACAGTAGGTAGGCCTATATGTGCATAACTAGCTTATCGAAAATCAAGTCATATGGTGGCATCCCGTTTGGCTTTGGGAGTTTTATTCTTCGAGTTCTGGGGGGGGGGGGGGGGTTG